TTGTGACATCAGTCCTTAAGTTGAATTTAACGATAAAGCAAACAAAAATACACAGCTGACTTCAAGCAATAAAACAAACATTAAAAAGCTATTTGAATCTTCATATTTTCCAAATTATCATCACTTTAAAACTTACACGCTCCACAAAGGGCATTCATATCGGCTCCTAGTCAAAGCGGCGGTCAGTGGTACGTTTGGCCTTATCTGGCTGCTACCAGGGCTCTCAAGCGGAGAAGCACTCCTTCTTTCAGGTTTTTTTTATAGTTTATTCTTAAATAAAATTCCAGGCATTCCAAGCATTAGGCAGAGCTTGTCCGAGTTGGTTCAAATTTGTTGTAAGACCAGTAGATTCGGTCAGTACAGATGACGTGTTACTTAATTTTTTTTTTTGGAATCATTTAAGGAAGTACCATTTGAATGTTATTAGCGCCATCATGTTTTAAGCACCTTCATGTTTTTGCACAAACATCATTAGTATGACGCTTATACTTTTTGAGCTGGTGTAAAAATGAAATTTGTATGAATGATTTCCTGCTTACTCTATATTTATAAACTGTACAAAAACACACCCACCAGCATTATTTCTCGATGAATACACAGATTAAAAAAAGAATCTTGTGAAATAGATGGATCAGTAAATTGTTTTTACGAATAGAAATGATCTAAATGCACATGAGACCAGTAGACCCTACTTGCATTAAAACATTACATTTATTTGAAATGGTATTTTACAAACATTGATATATATATATATATATATATATATATATATATATATATATATANCTAAAGACAAAAGGCCGACGTTCCCGCAATTGAGAACGGGAATTCACATCTAAACCATCTATATTGTGAATGACCGCTCGCAGGGGCGCACTACAGTGTTATCGGCAATGATATCCTGATCGTATCATTGTCTTGAATCAACTGACGCATTACCTTTGAGCTGGACAACGCGGCCATATTTGGTGACGAACTTTTCAAAAATTATCGAGTACCACATTTTCAAGGTCGACGAAGTTTTCAAAGGGAAAAAAATTACATCGGCGGAAAATTGTCGGCCGACGAAATTTTCAAGAACGACGAAATTTTCAAGACTTTACCGTACTGCTGTAATGATTAAGATCGTGTAAGATCACTTGTGAACTTAAATTGCACTTAAAGACCAAATCTAGCCCACTAGTGCTAGTTAGTCCACTCTTCTAAATGAGGCCATAGTACAATAGTTTCATTGGGAATAAGATCTAAATATACTAGAACATTTTTGTCCCAATGTTGGATCTGAATTTTGATACAAGTATCTCTCATGACATGATACCGGTGAATGAATATATCATTTGATGGGTGGTATACTCTTTTACTGAATTGGTTTTAAATCTATATGAGCTATAAACTGGCCCATACCTCAGACTTTACGAAAGGCCAAAAAATCTGTCAGACATTCGGTCTGACAAGCTTGAAAATTCTGTCAGACCGAAACAAAATCTGTCAGACCAAAGTAAAATATTAGAAATATGAACCATTATTCATGTTTTCATGTGTATTTTCTAACGTTTTAAATCATTGACATTAAATCAAATATTAAATTTTTGATATATATTTATTTGTAAAAAAGTAAAATAAGAAAGAAAAACAAAAAAAAAAAAAAAGACAAAAAATTACTTGCATAACAAGTTGTTTTTTATTTAATGAAAAAGACGCTGTGGAATGACACAAGGACTAAAAACTATACAAGTATGAAGAATGTGTAGCTAGTAATATCAAATGCATGTCCATAAAAACGTCTGTTAATCAGATAACCATTTCACGTTTTTTTTGGCAATAACATATGCATTTTGAAACAGCACAGTAAGGCAGTCTCTTTCATCCAATTGAAGCTTTGACAGGGACTGTCCAGCCCGAGTCAAAGTTCCTTCTTCATTTTATTTCTTTTTTTATAAAAAGAAACTCAAACTGTGAGCTTTCCTCCAAGTTCATGTGCACTTTCTCCAACTCGTGGTGAACGGTACATGCAAATACTGTACGTACATATGTTCCATAATTTAAGAACCCGTAAAGCTGTAACATTTATGTTGCTATTGATCAAAATGATAACTTTAGTACTCCTGACACTCGGCACACTCTATTTTCCTCTCCTGCAGAACACAAGTCCGCCAGGGCCTACCTTCTTTCCAATTTTAGTAAACTTCCGTTTCTTTTCCTCAATTCGTTTCATTTTTGCCACGCTTTGCACCAACGAAGTGTTTAAAGTTCAACAACGTCATTTTCTAAACAAAAGGCTTATCCATGAGTTCTCTGTACGACTGATAATGAAGAAACAGAGGATCAAGTCTGTAAAAACGCAAATAGCACGAGCACATGTGTTGCGGCCATTTTGTCATGTAGGGGGTATTACGAAAACGAAAACGAGACTGTACATTACATCATCCAGGAATCCCCCAACCTCAGCCAGTCACAAAATAGTATTTCTGAGTGAAACTGAGGTTAATAAATTATGTATAATTAGCTGGGAACTCCCCGAGATTTTCATCTCGTCTCTCTTTTCGAATGAAGTAAAATATATCGTCCAGAAAAGAAACAACAACGTATTCCTTATATTTACACATTCCCAGTCAGTTTGAAAACTCGCCGGACATAAGGTCCGACGATACAGGATTTTTTATCGGACCGAGACGAAATTTGCCAGGCATGTCCGACGGTCCGACGCCTTTCGTAAAGTCTGCATACCTCAATGTCTTATAACCAGTGTTTGCCTCTTAGGAAAATAAGTTGCTGGACCGAAAGCTCAGCCATCTTGAAAATTAGCTGGCTAGAATACCTGCTGGGTGGGAAAACTTCTCTGCCCATTCTGAAAGTTGTCTGCCCCGGGCAGACGGTCCAGCCTTAATTTCTAACACTGCTTATAACATGTTGTCACTGCCTGTGAACTGTTATAATTTGAATTGATCATGGTGACATCTTGTGTAACACCTGGCGATGATTTCATGGCTTTAATGAATTGTAACGTCATTGATAAAAGCTGGCTTGAATTAAGTAGGCAGTTTTGTTCTTTCTCTTCACTGAAAAGTTATATAATAAGACATATTGTGAAGTACTCTTTTGGGTAAACTGTTATCTTCAGTTTTTGATACTGGAAAAATGATTTGCTTATTAATGCCTTTTAAAGGTGGAAGAAATGTAATTGGTGTTCAAATTAAAGTAACAGGTCATGCTCTCATCCAATTAACTGATCTGCCCCATAATTAGCTTGGCGTGGCCGATGACATGCCACTTGCCGTGACGACATGCTGGGGCCTTTTCTTAGCTCTCCTTGACGCAAGTCCGCTGTAGCAGCTGTCAAGATGGAGGATCTTCCCAGCATTCCCAGGTCAGGATCTTGAGGACGGCAGCTGTGACAGGCCATTACTTTAGTTATTAGAATACAGATGATCTCTGTGTGTGTGTGTGCAGTTACTGTTGGATGCAGTATCTTACAGGATGAAGTCTGATCCTGTCAACAAGTGGGAAGATATGAAGATTGGGAACAGTGCATAACTCGGAAGGATTTAAATGTTGGAGGGGATTGCAGTTACATTGGAAATCTTTCCATCAGGACCATTTGAAATTGACTGTACAGTAAAAAAAAATTGAGGAATACAAACAAATTGTTAATATTTTGTACAGAATCCATAACAACTTCACAACCTTTTTTTAGCTTTTTGAGGAAGAGGATTAATTAACTGCGTAAAATACCATAGATGCCATAGTTAGTAGTTGACTTATTGCTGACAGATCATAAATGCAGAACTTTTGTTATAACTACTTAAAAAGGAGTAACTGACTTATTTCTACATGACTTTTTGGGTAAAAACCAGTCTCTGTGAGCAGCAATGGAGAAGAATTAGATGTGTCTAGTGGGCAGTTTTACCTCTACGAAACAGGAATATCAGCTTCATAGGTGTCGTGCATTTTGTGTTTTATCTTAGCGCAGTAATCTCTGGGCAATATGTAATGTTTTGACTGAAGTTTTCTTCATTCATTACTAATGTGACACAAGGCACAAAGATGCAGGTTGTGGAACTATTATACCAACTTACATTGAGTGGATTGAAGAAAAATCTGTGCCAGTTTCATCAATATTAAACCAGCATCTGCAAAATAACAAGTCAGATCAGGGAACTATCATTTCAGAAAAGAATTGTATTGCAACGAATTTATGTTGATAAATGCACTAGGCCAACAGTAGCTATGCTTTTAACAAGGGTACATTTGAATTAAACCCTGTTATATTTCCTTCAAAATGAGCAGCTGTCGTAAGCTGATCGTTTACTGGCAAAATGGGGCACAAGGTGGCAGCGCTAGTATGAACGACAAAAACTACACCACTTTGCCGCAGTCCACTAAAACTTTATCAGGGAGATATGTGAAGAACTCCTCACCCAGAGACAAACGTCGATCCAGATCACCAATTTCTGTTTCTAGTCTAAACCCACCAGCTGTGGAGAAATTTTTCACTGGTTTGGGCACCTTCAAACTGGTCCCGCCATCACCGCCAACGAGATGGAAAAGCAGTTTTGGAAGCATCGGCAAAAGGGCGAAAAGCATAGCTGCTCTCCACATCCCACCAGACACTGACAGCGAGGAAGGCGAGGTGGAGGACGCTCCCAGCCCAACTGGTGGTCTAAATAAGAACAATATTTTCTTACGAAATGATTGGGTCCACAGGAGTCACAGCACTCTGGGGCCTGGCGGAAAATCAAAAGCGGTCCGACTGATCACCCTGCGAAAAAAACAAAATGGCAGAGAAGAGGAGAGTTCAGGGCCACAGTATTTGAGCAAAATCACCCTGAGTACCCAAAAATACCCAGATTCTGATGATTCCAGTAGTAAATATGCCACCCCCTATGTCACACTCAAGAAAAGGCACATTGGGGGGAGTGCGTCCACTTGTTATAGCAGCCTCAGCGGCTCTTCCAGGTATGGAGGAGATACCACAGAATGTTCATGTGATAGTAGTGAATTTTGTGTCTCTTCAGGAGGGGAGGTAGATGGCGAGGTGGACCAGGAGGAAGAAATAGTGCAGCCAAGGGTGACCTTGAAGAATTGGGATCCTGTAAGCATTGTTTGTAAATTTTTGTAACCATAATGATTGTTTTTTTTTGTTTGTTTGTTTGTTTTTTATTTACCACTAAACTTTCGCTGTTCTAGTATTCTCTAATTCTATTCCTCTTCATGGCATTCTGACACTAATTGAATTTTGATCTTTTGAATCTGACTGTCTTTCTTCTTGACTTTTGTTAATCTTTTCACATGCTTCTACTCTATCACACGGGTACTGCATATATATATATATATAATGATCCCTTTGTGTGTCTAAGTTGCTGTCCTGCACAGCTGTTGTTTACCCTTAAACTGCCAAACCATATTTTTGTTTTTTTCTGGATGTCCTGTGTTAATCTTTCTATTAAATTTTCAATTTGTTGTATTTTTATTTATGGAAGGCAAAGGGGATAAAACATTACTGCCATATGTACAAATATGGGTCTCCAAATTAACGTAGATATCCATTTTAAGAAAAAAAAAAAAAGCTCTAACATCCTTGAACGTCACTGCCAAAAGTGCATGTCTGCGTATTTCTGCTTGACGCCTGCCAAGGTGCCACACCTTGGAGAGTTAAATGTCAGTATACTATACCAATAGGTCAGCCAAATATATGTGTTAAAATATTGGTCATGGTGGCAGGTGTTCAGCCCCTCATGTCTGCTTGCTATCATGGCAGTTTTCACCACACAATTTATCTTTTTGATTTTTCATTTATTTACTATGGTCTATTTTCTTATTATATATATATTTTTTTCTCTATTTTTCATTTATTAAAGTGTTGTCGACTATTTTCTTAGCCTGTTTTTTGCATCTCCATTATTATGTTTTTGGGTGATATTTAAGATCTTCCTGAATATATTTTAAGTAGTGAACTCTGCATTGTGACCTTTCTGTACATCGTTTTAGTTGGTCACAGGAAAAAAAAACGAAAAAAAAAAAAAACGATGGAATGAAGACGTTTCTCCATATTCCATATCCATAATCATACTATTGTCACTTAAATGTTTAAGTTTTTCTTTCTCTTATGTCTTTTGTAGGTGAAATTGATGAAGGAGATATATAGAATAAAACTTGAACCTCAGGTACGTGTTTTTCTGACAGATTTTTATTGTTTATTTTTCTCATTTAAGATGAACTGAAATAATTCGTAAACAAACCATTTTTATCGACATAAACAAGAATTACAAGTATTAACTGACCTTTGAGTGATAGTAACCACTTACTTTGGAACTAAAATATTAGTGGAAGTATGTTTCGGCCCACATATCAGGACTACATATCAATGGTAGACCTGGTAGACCTGTGAATGATTTTCACTCTGGGTAGTAAAGTAATAGTAAAGTAAATTCTTTGGCAACATGAACAGTCTTATTGATAAGGAATTACAAGGTAAATTATTCCTGGTTTGTGTAAAGTACCAAGACAAAAATGATTACGTATATCACCAAGTTGTTAAGATTTAGAAAGTAGTCTCTTAACCACCATTTGACTTCTACTTTTATTTTGTGTCCAGGAGGATGAAGACCTTGCCACCAAGTTCATTACCATGGAAGGTTACATGGAGAAATTACCCATGGGAAAGAAAAAAGCTACATTGCTTAAAACATGGAAGAAAAGATACTTCCGAGCCAAAGAAGGAAATTTGTTCTATTATGATGTAAGTTAAAAAATTGGTAACTATAAAGTTGAAGTGACATTCACAAACATTAAAGAGAAAACAGGGTTGGATATTGCTCATTATATTACTCTCTAAAGGTACAACATCACTTAAATACTATATTGAGGGCTTGCACAAATAACCCTGTGTTTCCTGTGTTAGGAAACAGAATTACCCCCTATTGAAATTATGCCACTAGCATCGTAGATTTAATGTATTTTAGATACTTCTTAATAAGAAAACTTCAGCATGAATAAGATTATGTATGTCTACCATTTTTCATTAGAAAAGGTGATGAAGTAAAACATTCTTTAAATTTTAAGTAAATAACAGTTTTATCTAAAATCTCAGCACAGACTTAACAATAACTCAAAGTACATTTTCTTCATTCTTTACAAATTAGGACACGGAGGTAGGTAATGGTGTCATGGCTACATGTTGTGTTGCCATGGCTACATGTTGTGTTGCCATGGCTACATGTTGTGTTGCCATGGCTACATGTTGTGTTGCCTATGTGTTCAGCCATTGCAGCCATTGATTTCATGCAGGATTTTGGAGCTATTTGGGGGTCCCTGGTTCAGTATAACATACTAACATTCCTGGTGCCATGTGTTTTATTGCCTAAGCTTGTTTTGACATACCTGGTCTCGTATCCATGGTGTATCTGTTGTATACAGTTGGTAAACTGGTCTAGGTTTATTACTAACCAAAATACATCTTTATATCAACATGGAAAATTGACCTGGTTAACTGTTCTACCCTTTTGAAATCTTTTTGCAGAACACATCCCATTGGATTGAGTCACTGAGAAGGGTAGTCTGTTTCCTTACTATTAATTTTAAACACTGGCAGTCCTTTTTGCCTTGGAGAAGTTCCACTCTGAATCCAAATTTGATCTAAGTTATATGAAAACATGTAAATTCACTGTAAAATGGTCCAGTTTTTCAGAAAATTCCACCTTCTATTTACCACTTACAAGTGGACCAAATTTCCAAATACCATTTTTAGTTCACACTTTCTTACTTAACAGGTTTGTGCCTGGAGCCACCCATTCCTTTGTAATTACTAAAACGGTTGGTCTCAGACCACTTTTGGGTTCAAATTATTCTTTTAATACCCATTCCCCAGTAACATGGCTTGGTATTGTGAGTAAAGACCCAAAACCCTTAACACTCAAGAGGTGACCTTTTGGTAATGTGGTTACAATTTTTTGAGAGAGGGGATAGGGCCAATACCTACTAACAATTCATACTTTATGTGGGGAACAATATTTTTTAATACATAAGCAATATTATTGTTGTCCTGTACAAAATATCTTGTCAGAATCCTCTTAGTATCTAAACATTTTGTTCCTATTGGAGCTAACCAGTATACCATTCCTATGGTCTAATGTTGGCCTAGGTTGTTAGCAGTACAGTGTTTAGAAAACTTTATAGAAAATAAGCAAAGTTATGAAAGTAAAGGTGTACTTATAATGTTGAACCTAGTCATGGAAGTTAAAGAGTGATACGGTAAAGTCTTGAAAATTTCGTCGCTTAAAAATTAATTAATATTTTTAATTGTGTAAATCCGACTAATTTTTCAAAATTACCTCTCCCCGACTCCTGGGTATGACGAAATTTTCAAAAATTCGGCCTTTGGGCTTTTATCCTTAGCGACTGTTATCTTTGACCCTCCTATATTGTGGGATATTTAAAACTACTTCCTAAGTCGTTTTCTGGTGGTAAATAATAATATATTTATTACTGCATCTCGATTAAGCTTAATTTAACTTACTGTACCCGAAAATGTGTTGAGAATTATCTTCTCGGTAAGAAACATACCTCCTGATAGAGGAGAAGGATCAAGATAAGCTTAATTGCCTCCTTGCATTATAACCTGACCGCGACATATTTAAAAAAAATTATGCACTTGGCAACGTTTGTTGCATGCAGGGCTTTTCCCAGGATTGAATGTCAGGCCTTCTAAAAGTACCATCTATAACTTCCTAAAAATTTACAGGGAGTTAAAATAATTGCTCCCGCAGACGATCTTCCGCAATTTAAGTTTCTTGAACTTATATGAAAACTGAACGATCTCCCGATGATGATATGAAAATTGCCTTTTCGTCTCGCTCGGATCGCGAACGATCTCCCTCTGACGATCTTACGCGAACAAAGTCCTGGCGATATATTACGCAAACGATTCTTCGCCGAAGATACATGTATGCCGTGAGCGGGGAAGGGGGGGGGTTAAAGATGANCCTTTAGATAAGAGTTCCATAGGGCATCCGGTAGGAGATTTTCGGAAGTGTTTTAAGGCACATAAGTATACAGTATATATAACAGGTACATATCTCCAATTAAAACATTCCAGATGGTAAAGTGGTGGACACACTGGTGTTTGTTAGTACTGACTACGACAACTACGCCGTCACTTACGAAAAATCACCGAGTAGTCAATATCCAAGAATGATCACTTTATGGTCTCGCACCAAAACTCTACCCAGCAACCTCTCAACCAAATTCAAAGAAGTCTTGAAAGAATCGTTTTGTCTCGATCTCGACAATCCCACTCTTGGGCGATGGGTTTTCACAGTGAGGCACGTCGAAGGTAAGAAGCACAATCATGTGATACGTTTTCATAGAAACCCATTCACAGTCAGCCCGTTTCACACAAAAAAATTTAATCCCAAAACTGATCTTAAATTTAAGAACACAATCATCGTCCACTTTGACACAAAACGAATCGAAACATTGTAGTAGTCCGAGTGAAAGTAAAATATTCTTTTATAACAGCTCGCGCCTTATCAGCATAAGTGCTCCAGTCTATGCCTTAAATGAGTCCCATTCTATTTTTCTGTTCCAGCCTGCCCGTTTTGAGACAAGGCATAACGTAAGGCAAAAATGGGATGTGGACAGAAAATGTCGACAATATGCCACAATTTTTTGTAGTCGATATTCATTTTGCCTTTAAAAATAAATTCGAAATATAAACGTGCAATGCGTACTTCTTGATGCCAGCTTTATAGACACACGCACGCACTCACGTAGACACTCGCTATATATTTGGAATCCCGGAAATTTTAACAGTTCTCCTTTGGCCCTGTCCTAGTTATATCGGTAAAATGGTGCACCAAACTCTGCTCTGTTTGCGTATATGGTACTTTGAGAAGATGGCTTTGCAAAACAGCCCTTCATGTTCTCAGCCTTATCTGACTTATCTTACGCGGTAAGTTATTGTGGGATGATTACGTTTGGCAAGAATAAATGTCCGGTCAGCCTGAGAACGAAATTGAAATACCAAGCAGTGAAGGGTGCTTTAATCGAGAGGGTAACCCCAACGGCATATGTGGGACGAAAAAAAATCTTGAAACAACAGTCGCTTCTTTAAGCGAAGGGCGCAATGGTGGGTCATGCATGTTAAACACAGGGCTATGAATTTTCCCAACTAACACACTTGATATTCCTGAATATCCTATAAAAGCTGTCGAGTTGTAAGTCTAACGTTATAATAATTTCGTATTTTGGCATGGCGATATCTTTAGAAATGCACTGTTCATTTAATTTTGGCTGCAACAGTGTGACATATATCAGTCACCTGGTTCATAGAAAGAAAAAAATTGTACAGTGATCGATGATGTGGAATACATAAAACATATAAATATATAGGATACAGAACTGTAGTGCCCAAACAGTCATGTACAATATCTTCCCACAGATCAGGATAATAAAGATTAGCATTAGCCAAGAGAGCAATCGGGAACAGAGGAAGATCAGAGACATTTGCGAGACAATTATGACAAACAGGCACTGACGGGCTGTACATGTGGCGAAACTTCAAGACAAACCACTGGACCACAAGAACAACGGAGTGGATTCCGAGAATGGCCAGATGGAGGGACTATATTCCACCATCTGGGACCCACCTGGCCAAACCAGGCCATGCCAATGCAAGGGCCATTACCTGCAGAGGGAGGTGCCCTTCCAGTTGGCCCTGGATTGATTGATTGATTGGTTAATTGATAGATATAATATATAGAAAAAATAATTCCCTGATGGAGATATCCTGTTAGACGTCAAAATATTGGTAAATCAATTCCAAGACATATCAGATCTATTGGAAGCAAAAAAGACAGAATTGAAAAACATCAGACAGAAGAAACTAAAAGGTATCCTTTTGCGAGCAAAAGCAAGGTGGGTGGAAGAAGGTGAGAAGCCGACAAAATACTTCTGTTTTCTAGAATCTAGACACTACGTGAACAAAACTATACAAAATCTAGAACTGCAAGACGGAACTGTTATTTTTGATCAAAAGGAAATACTTAATGAAGCTAAATTATTTTATGAACGTCTGTATTCCTCAAAAATAGGAGAAAACACAAGGTTGATATATGACCTAATGTACATCACAGAAAAACGAAATATTCCAGGCTTGCTTGTTTTGATTGATTTTGAAAAGGCTTTCGATTCGGTTGACTAGGATTTTATAATTAATGTACTGGACTTCTTCAATTTTGGTGACGCAATTAAAAAATGGTTTGGGATATTAAGTTTCGACTGCAGCGCCTCCATTAGTCAGTGCGGTCATTTATCCGAATACTTCAGAATCTCAAGAGTATGCCACCTGGGTGACCTCCTCTCCCCGTACATTTTTATTTTATGTGCTGAAATACTTCCGTTATTGATCAAGAATAATAGTGATATTACTGGTATAAAGATAGAGAATACAGAATTTAGAATATCACAATATACTGACGACACTACCCTCACGGCAGCAGGCTCATTTCTTGCAGCATTTTATACACTTGATTTTTTTTTCAAAAATATCAGGTTTTAAAATTGGTCAGACATGTTTGAATTTAATTAGCTTCAGCAAAATAATATATTGCACTTTTTTCTTGTTTAATAATCTATTGTAGTTTTGGTTGAATACATTGTGGTATTGATCTTTATTATTATTATTATTATTATTATTATTATTATTATTATTATTATTATTATTATTTTTACAC